GCAGGGGGGAGGGGGGGCCGGAGGCAGAGGTGGCAGTGGCGATGGCTGTGGTGGCTGTGGTGGCATCTGGGATTGTGGCTATGGCCGCAGCCCTAGCTTCCAGAAGTGGGGGGATGGGGAGCAGGTGAGAGGGCCGGGGGTGGGCACTGGAGTAGGAGTAACCCTGGAAAACTTCCTTTCTTCTCTGGGTGGGCCCAGAGCCAGGGAGACGGGCCAAGAGGTATTAAAGAATCCACCTGCTAGAATCTGTAGGTCTGTTTGATGAAGGAACACTTGGCTGGAGGGCAGAAACGGATGAGCTAAGTATACCACAGCCCTGAAATCGGGGTACTAGAGAGCAGAGTGGACTGTGGCCAGTGGCCAGTGGAGCCCTGTCCATCCTGCTTCCCTCTCGGAGTCCTTCTGGGCCGCCCTCCCACTGAAGCCTGGTTCTCTCGGGCTGCTGCTCCTCCGGCTGGGGGCCAAGAGTGGGGGACGTTAGGCGTGAAAAACAAACCAAAGGACGCTGGCTCTGGGGCTGGACTAGATTTGAGTCCCCAGGTCGGGGGGATTCTGGCCAAGTCTCTCCTCGCCTCAGTTTCCCCAGCAGTAAAGCAGTAGGTCACCCAGTAGGTCCCGCAGGGTGACCCAGAGGCTGTTTGAGGGATGGGGACACAGCTCAGGTGGCAAGAGTGAGGTGGAGCCCTGAGGTCCTGGAAGAGCCTCTAGGCCAGAAGCCAGTGGACGGGGACTGTCAGTTCTCGGGCCTGGCATGTCTGTTTGAATGATCTTCTTGGCAAAGACAGAGGGAGATGCAAACAAAGATAGGCTTGGATTAGAGAGTAAAGGAATCCCAATCAGGGTACTGGTGCGTCCTGCTCCAGGCTGCCCACTGGGGAGGACTGGGGGGTCAGTGTGGACAGGCCGGGGAGGGCCTGGCGGAGAGGGAGGGCACTGGGGCTGCCACCTGCCACCTCCTGCCAGTTCTCGGGACTTTCTGGGCAGCCCAGTTTGATGCCTCCACGTGAGTTTCTCTGGCTACAGACAACCCCCGGGGACCATTTGAGACGTCCAAGGAAGCTGACCAGCTGGATGGGGTTGGAGAAGTGGCTCTGGCCTGGGCACAGCCGGCTTGGGCTGAGCGTGCAAAGGGTGTGTGAGTCAGAGAACAACAGTGACAGACTCCATGCCAGCCTGCCCCGGGGCTCCAGGTCTAAGGGTGGGGGTGCTGCCTGGAGCCGGGTGCCACTTCTTCCCCGGGTCGTTGAAATGTAGCGCTACAGGACCTGGGTTCCACCCA